TATGTTGTAGATTTTGGAGCTACTCAATATAGGATTGGGATTGATGATGGAATAACTAATTTGGTTGATGTTTATGATTTGAGCTTAGAAGTTAATCATCCAAATGGGTCTACTGCCCAAATTTATAAAATTGGAAATTTAAGAATATCACCATCAGTCCAGTCGTAAAGATGTTTTAGTAGTTCCCGAAGTCAAAGTAGATTTGTTATATGTTCATAAGTTGGCTATGGATAACATAATAGGTGTGTATTTTAAAGAAAAGACTTGCTTTATTCAGGATTTTCAAGGAAAACACATTAGAGGACTAGTAAATAGTTAGGCAGGTTATATTTCCTAAATGAATATAAGGTGATAAAGTTTAGTTTGTCTTGTAATTCTGCGTGTTTTGTGTCAAAATTTGTTTCGCATCATAGGCTTGACCATTCTCAAATCAAGCCTTATGTGTTTTAAGGATAGTTGGGATTTAATATAAATTCTTCTTTTGTTTTTGATATTTGTCATAAGGCCAAATAAACACGGGAGCCTTTTTCCACATACTGATCATAAAACGTCTAACATAAGAGACCTTGTACATCTAGATGTATGGGGTCCATATGTATTCTAGTAGACACAAGTTTAGATTCTTTCTCACTATTGTTGATGATTTTTCATGTGTTGTGTGGATTTATTTGTTAGATGGAAACATGAAGTGTTTGATAATTTCATAATCGTTTTTAATATGTTAAATTTTCAGTTTTTCAAAATAGGTAAAATCTTCAAATCTGACATTGGAAATGAACTTTTAATGCAAGATTCAATCATTTCTTTGAACAAAATGGATTCTTTCATCAAACGTATTGCATTCACACCGCACAACAAAATTGAGTTATGGAGAGAAAACATAGACATTTAATGAATGTTGCTAGGTCACTGTTTTTTCTGTCTGGCTTACCATTTGACCTTTGGAGTGAAATTATTTTAACTGTTGTCTTAATAGTAAATTGTACTCTAAGCTGCATGTTAGATAGAAAGTTATCATTTGAAATTGTTTACAATAAAAATCCTTATTTTGATTTTTTGAGAGAGTTTTGTTGTATTTGTTTTGCTACAAGATTAAATCAATCAGATAATTTTCTTATAAATATGATAAATGTGTTTTAATCGGGTATTAGAATGTAAAGAAAGGTTACACATAGCTAAGTTTTGACTAAAATCATGTTTTATTTTCTAGAGGTGTAAAGTTCTATGAAATTATGTTTCTTTTTAAAACGAGTTCAACGGGAAGCTCTACACCCTTTAAGAATGACAGTGCTAATCATAGTAATTTCTTTGATACAATTTATCAAATTGTTTTGGGTAAGTATAACAGTCTCGTGAGTTTATGTGATGATCAATCAAATAATAGTAATTTGGTTGATCCATTTCTTGGGCAGAACGAAAAAAGGGGCCCTCACCGTTTAGGATGTGTTACTCAAACAATGGAACTTAACCAAAATTATTACGAGAAATCATCTTCCCATTATGAGTTAGAGTCTGAAGTTATGTCCCTTAGGAAGTCTAGTAGAGAAAGAAAGGTTCATTATCGGATTAATGGTTATGTGATTGAAGAGAAATATAAATTTGGTATTAAGAAATTTGTTGGGTATGCTAAAATAAATCATAATTCTAAATGTCTTGCTTCTTTGTTAAAAATAGTTTTCTGAACATTCTTCGTATTTTAAAGTCTCAAAAGATCCCAATTGGATAAAAACCATGAATAAAGAAATGGAGGCTCTTAATCGAAATGAAAATTAGGAAATTATTTATTTATCATATAGGAGAAAACCCATAGGTTGTAAATGGGTTTACACAATTGAATATCAATCAATTGTTGAAAGATAGCGTTATAAGGCTAGGTTAGTTACAAAAGGCTATATGAATATGAAGGCCCCGATTTTGATGAAACTTTTTCACCTTTTCTAAAAATATTAACTATTAGATATGTGTTAAACATAGTTGTGAATATGCTGTAAATTATATCTAATGGATATTAATAATGGTTTCTTTATGGTTCAATTGAAGAAGAAGTCTATATGTCTCTTCCTATAAGGTACTTTACAAAAAATGATAATAAAGTATGAAAGTTGGATAAGTCTCTTTTTAGACTTAAACAAGCACCAAGAAAATTAAATGAAAAATTGACTGAATCTCTTGAAGAATATGGTTTCCAACAAAGTAGAAAATATTTTCCCTTTATACTTTTTAAATATGAAAGTGTGTTTTTAATATTATTTGTATATATCCATGATATAACTTTAACTGGAAAATAGTATTGCTGAAATTAAAAAGGTAAAGTTATTTTTGAAAACGTAATTTCTATTCAAAGATTTGGGTATCCTTGAAATATTTTTTAGGCATAGAAATTGTTGATAAACTGAATGGTTTATGTTTGTCACAAAGAAAATATTTTTTAAAGTTATTACCTAAACCAATCTCTTGTCCTGCAAACCTGTTAATACACCCCTTGATTTAAAGGTTGTGGTTAGTAGTGAAGGTGAGGAAAAAAATGATTCTATTTTGGTAAATATAATTGAATACCAAAAATTCTTTCGAAAGTATACATATTTGATTAATACACATCCAAACATTTCTTTTGTTGTTCAGACTCTTAGCCAGTTTATGCATTGTTCTTGAAAGTCTCATCTTATAACATCAATATGGGTTTTGTGTTATCTTAAATTATGTCCACGAACCGGTGGTTTGATCTCTAAAAGTGCATGTCTTTCTTTGTCAACATGGAAAAATATTGACTATGGCAGATTTGTTACTTCTAGAAGGTTTGTAACTAGATACTATATTTTTCTTTGAAATTCCTTCATTTCCTAGAAAAGTATAAAGTAATCTATTATTTCTAAGTCTTCTACAAATGTGGAGTACCGTTCACATGCAATTTCAATTTGTGAAATTTTATGGGTTTTAAATTTTTTGAAAGATTTGGGTTTGCATCATAAACTACCTGTTAATATTTTTTGTGATAATGCATCAACTATTTCAATTTTTGAAAATCCAGTTTTACTTGAGAGAACTAAGCATATTAAAATAGATGGTCATATAATTTGTGATAAAGTTTCGGAATGGGTAATTAAAGTAGTTAAAGTTGAGTCACTTCAACACTTCAACATACTGTTGACATTCTTACAAATTAATTAAGCCGTTAAGTTTTTGTCATCAATTTTAGATGGATTAATGTTTTCATGTGAGGGGAATGTTGAAAATGATATTTTTAGTCAACTAAAGTAGTAAAAGAGTTAAATAATTAATTGCTATAGTTAGTTAGTTTTTTTTTTTATTTTTATTTTTTTTTATTTTTTATTTTTGGCAATGTAATCAAAGGTGTTGTATTGAATATGTAATACTTTTAGTTAAATAATAAGGAATTGTTGCAAAGGGGTAAAAGTGGTACATGTTAAAGATAAATGAAGACACGGGTTTGTCGACCAGACCCGAATCCAATTTAGGACTGTTATTAATGTTGAAGGTAGCCTCATTTGTGTATACACAATTTAGGGTTTTTCAAATTTCCTCTCTTGTTATACTCTCTTTATTCTAGTGTATCATCTTCTTCATACTTTCTAAGGTTCTTATTTATTATCTTATTGTACTTATATGTGAGTGTAGATTAGGATGAGTGATGTAGTGAAGATTATTTTCTAAGAGTGAGGATGGTTCTGTAGTAAGTATTCATTTGTAATACAAAACCAAATGGTTCTTCAAGAAAAAATTTTTGTTCATGTTGTAAAACTCGATAATGATCGATTCTTATTTCTTTTTAATTGTTTCTGCCAGATTTCTAGCTATAGCTTATTGCTAGCTAGTTTATAAAATTTAGGTGTTTTGTTTAGAAAAAAAAAATCTACAACAAAAATATAAATCTTGAAAAAACTCATATTTTTTGGAAACGGCAAACGAATTAAGTGAAGCCTCATCGCAATATTTCAACGAGCACCCCGGGTTCGAGCTCCTTTACAGGGCAAACCCAGCCCCATAGGGATTTCCAGGGAAAAATTCCCCACAGGTGACACCACAAGAGATAGTTTAAGCGAATAGAACTCCCGACCTCACGCCCCACATGTATATAAAATCTGATGCATCAACCCAGCTAGGCTGGACATCACTTGCAAAAAAACTCATATGGGAACTAAAAGCAAAATATTTTTAAAGGTGAAAATGAAAGAAAACATGTTTGAAAATGCTATAATTGGAGAGACAAAAAGATGCCACGTTTCTAGGTTTCACATGTGACAACAAAAACCATTCGAGGCACTGAAATGAAAAGATCCATAACTTCCTAAGTAAGCAAGGAAGTAAGACATGTTTTCAAGAAGAATAGTCAAAGAAACCCAAGTGAAAATTGTCTTCCATTCCCGTTATTCTAGATTTCCTACACTTGTCGTTTTAATTAATTTATTATTTTTATACTTTTATAAGATTATTGATTTTATTCAATAACTTATTAATTAGTCGACGTGCTTGATAAAATTTCACATGAACGACTAACCACTAAATCAAAGAAAATAATTTTTTAACCACGTTAGTAATTACGTTTGAACATGTAGAAGAAAGTTAGTAGAGTATTTAATTTTATTCTTAAACAAATAAACACAACATAGTTGCCAAATAGGCATGCTTTCAGAAAATATAATATTTGATTATAAGATATTTTGATATATAAATAAATGATAATTGACTTTAAGTCTTTCATATTCGATAGCCCTAGAGCCTAGGTTAAAGTTATATTTTATCATTTATGGGGTGCACATAAATAGAAAGACTTTACTCCACATACGTAGGACACGTGTGGGATCTTTCCACAAATCGTACACCTACTTGAACCCTACCCAAACTTTTCAGTTTTTACACCCTCGCAACACAAATCCAATTATAAGTATGACTCTTCACATTATCAGCAAAACATACACAATCAACGACTGTTTCAGCTTCCTTCACTCTATCTATTCAACTTAAACAAAATGATGAAAGAAATGGGTGGGCAAACCTTCTTTTTGAAGAAAAACAATGTCCGAAAAAAACTAGCCATTCTCCTTCACAGCTCAGAACCAAACGTTTTCATCACCACCCACCAACAACCAGAAAACTCCGAAAATAATTTTAATCACCGCAGTAGCAACGCCTCATTACCTAGCCCAGTCTTGTCTTCATGTTCATCACCAGTCTCCTTCATGTCTCCAATCAACCATATGCCATCACCCTACTCTGAATCTCCTTGGACACTTCCACATGGCAGCAATGGAGAAGATGGTATCATCTACACTGGCTTGATCGGGTCTTTGATACGTGAAGAGGGTCATATATATTCGTTAGCATCGTCCGGGGATTTGTTGTACACAGGTTCGGATTCTAATAACATGAAGAAGGGAAAATGGCTTATAAGCCCAATGAAGTTTTCAAACCGTTCAAAAAACCTCAATTATGTTTTGTGTGTTCAAGAAAACCCAATCAATTAACATTTTGTCTAAAAAAGCCCAACTAACTTACACTTCTCATTTAGGGTCAACCAGCTAATGAAAGTCAACGAATGACATGACTTATGACGTGTAATTAAATATTGAGAAAATGACGTGTAAGACCAACGAAGTTTCGAAACCGTTCAAAAAACCACAATCATGTTTTGTTTGTTAAAAAAACCCAACGAAGTTACGCTTTTGTTTAATCCTCATTAGAGGCTACCAAATTCATTAGGTATAAAATTAGTTGGCAAATGACACACTACAAGAAATCTTGGGATTACCGGCGACGCCTTTAGCGGCGACATGGGGCAATAGCGGCGACATTTAATTGACGCGTTACATGTCGCCGCTAAAGGCGTCGCCGGTAATGCTCCCAAACGGCGATCCGCGTCAACTTACCCCTATCCGTCCGATTTGTTTTCAATCCAACGGTTGTAGAAAAGGGGTTAATTTTTCCCTCCAAGGAGTCGCCGCTATTACTCTTTTGTCGCCGCTAATACACATGCGTCGCCGCTGATACTCGTGCAGATAACCCCATTTCCAGTTTCCTTTTTCGCCACTTTTTCTCCTACGCGCTGTTTCTTTCTTTCTGTCGCTCGTTTCTTGGTTGCAGCTTCTTTCCTTCATCAGTTCACAAGTCGATTGAGTGGAGGATAAAATGGTCAATTCGGAAATTGCTTCATCAGTTCACAAGTGGATTGAGTGGAGGATAAATTCATCAGTTCACAACCGGCGACCCTCAGCTCAATTCGGAAATTCCTCACATTCAATGTAAAATTGCTCCTATTTCTTACTTGTTTTTCTATTTTGGATGATAAATTGGTGCTATATGTCGGAAAATTGCCTTTTGCATTGTTCTTATATGACCGATAAACACAAGACCATTCGTATTTTTTTTCTTGCTTCTTATCTGCGCATTACCGGTATAAATTGATGCTATATATATGTTGGAAATTGCCTCTTGAATTGTTATTAGATCACCGATAGACAAGACCATTCGATTTTTTTTTCTTGCTTCTCTGCAAGAACGATCGCGATGAAGGAGGAATCAGGAGGTATCAAACCTCCTGATTTAACCAAACTCCATTACAAAATATATATTTTCAGCCCCTCAACTTCTGCTTTGTATGGTTTTGGTCCCTTGCTCTAAAAAATAATTAAAAATCTAGTCTTAAACAAAGAAACTTCAATTAAAATCTTCAAAGTTTACCTTATTATGGAAAAATCCTTTTAATTGAATCCAAAGTTTTAATGTAAAATTTCATAAATTTATTTATATTTTTTTTATAATATTGATTTATTTTAGATTAAGTAAGCCTTAGATTAATTAATTTTTTAGAAAATTAAACTAAATTAATAGCAACATACTTTCTCTTTGAGATAAAAAGTGTTTGTGCATTTTGTTGGATTGTATGCATTTTGTTGGAATATTGTATCATTTTTCAGATTTGTGGGAAGTTTTTATGCATTTTGAGTATGTTTTTGAAATTTTTGTTTATACCACATTGGCTTAAAAATGAAATTTGACATTAAATTGAAATTGGATGTATATATACATTTGTTTGATTTTGTTTAATTAGAAAATCAAATTAATTTACTTTTAGA